TAAGAAAAAAAAAAGACCCCAAATTGCCTAGTCAAGTCTCATCATCTCTCATGGAAAATTACCTCTTTACCCTGGCATCGACAGCCGGTGGCTTCGACCGGTAACCGGCAGGTGTCGCCGCCGCCATCACACCGCCGCCTTTTACCCTCCCATCCCCCGGGAGCCCACACGCTTCCCCCAACCTGAGCTCGGATGGCGGAATGAAGCAGTCGGGACTAAGGCCCGGAACATTAAAAGCAACCTCCTCAATGGTCCACGATTCCTCCATTCGTGTCTTGGTATGGCTCAAGGCAGTCTCCCCGAACCGGAAAAGGGTCACCACCGACCGGCCCGAATGGGCTATCACAACCCCATCCACAGCCCGGTAATCATCGAGGTACGAGTTTATGGTGGTCTCCCAGTAAACAGCATCCCCACCACCGTGGGCCTGAATCCGCGTCAGGTGAGAGTCCTCCAGGTGAACAAGAAGGCCCGTCCTCTGGCTGAAGTACCCAAAGAGGACATGTCGGATGATCTCCGCCGGGCCCTCGCTCCGGGCCTTGAGTGTATGCGGGTCAGCACATATTTTCAGGACAAAACAGTCCTCACCGTCCAGCTTCTTCTCACCCGTGCACCGGGCGTTCACAAACATGTTTGCCGTTGTTTTCGGGTCCAGGCCCTGAAGAGCACGGCGCAAGGGCCGAACGGGCCCCTTGGCGGCGTGGGCACCGAGCCAAGGCGTGTGGCGCCAGACGAGCTGGCCATTGCATCCGGCACGGACCTTGCTACCGGAAAGAGCCAGCTCGACATACCACTTGTCGGGATTCATCTGCCACAGAACGAACCCACCCAACTCGGCCGATTTGGACGAGTTCCGGTTCTTGATCACCTTTGTGGCTGTCTCGATATCAGAAGCCACCATTTTCACCTTCCCCATTGCGTATGAGTTCTGGATCGAGTTCTGGAGCTTGTGCCCACCTGAAGCTGCCAAGTACTGCTGTAGAATGTACTGTGCTGAGGATGTTTCCTGTTTTTTCAACAATTTTGAAAATCACAAGTTACTTTATTCTTGTTTTTTT